GGAATATTTTAAAAAAAGAAACAACCATTTCAATCTATATCAAGAGCTTCTACTGTTTTTTTGTTTTCTTTTGGAAATCTATAACAAGCTAACTGTAGCAGTTATCCGTTATGTGATATTGGACCACATCCTCAACTGGTTAGTGTAGCTATATTTTCTTCAGTGGAGCAATGCTAATTGAGATTATGGCCCAGTATTGTGTGTATCATTTAAAAACAAGGATCTGCAAAGTGACGTCTTGTGTGAAAAGTGCTAAAATGTAATAAGGAATATTTCAAAATCCCTATATTTACCAAGCTTAGCACTTCATGTACTCTTAAATTTATTCATTACATTTTCTAGCTTTTGAAGCAAATCACCACAATTGTTTCCATTTTCCATGTATCTTCTTTAATACTTTACAGTTCATGTATTAAAGCAATGCCAAACCGTCTTGAATGCCAGACAGTGATTTCCATCCATGCCACTTGGTATGCAGATATACACATTACAGTTCAGTCATGAAGAACTTTTTCAGCAGCTGTGGAAGATGCACATTTAGGAAGAGACAATGATTAAAAAAATATAGTGCATTAGGAACTGGAAATTCCTTAAGAGATGTTTTTTTTCAAAAGGGGTTGCTTGTCTCATAATGTAAATTGTTGAATTTAGATAAAAAATCTAATCTTTTATTACTTTGGTCTCTTTTTCTCCTTATCCTGTGTCAGCTGCTGCCTGGCAACTTTTCTATATCTGGGAGGACAGGGCAGGGCACCCGGCAGCCTCCAGAATTGCTGCCAATATCATTCCCTAGCAACCTGCTTTTTCAGGCCAACTCTTCCCTCTGAGAAGCTGAATACATCACCTCTGTGACACAGTCCAGAAATCCTGGTATGTACAACCACAAGTTTTCTTGTTAACTTATGACCTGAGGTGGGTATCAGGTGAATTATTAATGCAAGTAGTAATAGTCCACCTATTCAAATATTGTAGCAAGCACCCAAAAATGAAATATAAAAGTAAAATAAAAGTTTAAGAAAATCTTTAAAACAAATACCTGCTTTTTCACTAATGCAAACAAGATATTTCCATAACTGCTAATGTCAGAATTAGCTCTGGCTGATGATTAATATTCTTGTGTTGTTTTATACTAGCAAGTATAAATGATTGGTTCTACTTTGTTTAATTTATCTCAATAAGAGATTTCATAATATTCTATAGCTTGATGAATTAATTTATTTAACTTGTCAGTATTAATAACCCCAATTAGTATGAAGAAGGTATAATACACTGAAGGAACAAACAGATCTTGAACAGCATTTCTAGCTTTCTCTGTTCACCATTAGTTCATTCTAATTCCCCATTTAATTATAACATTTATTATAGTGAAAGAATATTTCTAGACACCCATAAACTCTTTCCCCAAACCCCTTTGGCTGAATGCTCTCTAGCATTTCCCAATTTGTGTCACTCACATGGAAAAGACTGAAACCTTCAAAAAGTAGGACACACTTTCTTGACACTTGAACTATTTCGACAATAGCTACTGTATCCATTGATGTTGATAGAGAACCATGCACAAGTCCTTACATGTGTAAAGATACACATGTAAAAGATGAACTTTAAAAATGATGGCTGGGGGCAGGGGGAGGGAGGAAATCTAATAAGTGTATCTAATTATTTTTCTTATGAAAACTTCTCTGAGACTAAGCCAGTGAAGTAAAAACGTATTAATAGGTGGTCATTTAAGTTACTTTGTCTTTCAAAGTACAAGTAAACAGCATCTTGATATTTTAACTTGGTGTTATATCTCAGGCATACTTTGCTACTCAGTCCTTCCAATATTTTCAGGTTTATTCTGTTATGTATATTATACTTTTTATACCAAAATAATCCATGTAGAGGAGGTTTTAGGTGTTGATTTATTGAGGTGGAAAGATGGTATTAAAGTTAACATTATTCATATATATTTGTACTTTTGATCTATATTGTTAGAGTAGTTTAATTTCATCACATAGATGTGACTTCATAGTGAATAATGTTTAATGGAAATGAAGTTGAGGGGGAAAATGATTTATTAAAGGTCAACTTTTATTTGTTCAATGGCCTATATTTTAAAACCAGGCTTCCATGATAATTACCATCTCTTTATAGCACTATTTTAAACCAAGATTCATTTATGGGTGGCTATTTGACAAATGATTACTTACAGGTAATTGGATTTTTATTTATAATTCTGAGTGCACACATTTTTATTTATAATTCTGGGTATATTGACATCTTATTTCCGGGAAATACAGAATACATTGACTTTTATTTCAAAAAAGTGAAATGCCTTTTTATTTTAATAAGTTTAGATGCATATGTGATTTGCAATATCGAAAGTAAGATCAATTAATTCCTCAAAGACTCTCGTTAATGTTTAAAATGGATAGTAAATTGCGCTTTATCATTAAAGCAAATTATTCAAGTAGAGTACTGAGAAGCTTTGTTAGATAAGTATGGGATAAAGCTAAAAAGGAACAAATTAGTAATAAAGCTTCAGATGGTTGAAAATACGTTTTTAGTGGAAATGATTTTGTAAGAATGATTAACTTGTAAAGGGACAGTATGCCAATTAACAGATAATGTTTGAGGCAAAATTATGACTGCCTTGAGACCTGTGCACAGGATGCATTTTATAAATCTGAAAAATAAAATGGACTGCTAATAGAAATTGAATCAAAAATATGCAATCATTATGCTAAATTTGTTAGGGGAGAAGAATTCAGTTAAAATATAAGAAAAGATTGAATACTATCAAAAGTAAGAATTATAGCTTTGCCAGAAGTGTGCTGAGAAAGTCCTGTGTTACATGGCATACATGCATTTCTTTATGACATGCAGCCCAGTCTTGCAGTCTTTCCATGTGGAGAAAGCCATTGCCTTCAGTGGGAGTTTCCATGCGTGGCATGAGGCACCTTCCATTCATACTTTTATGAAATAGAAAGAAAAACATTCCAATTCAAGATATGTTAAAAATGTAATAAGACACAAGCAGTACTGTAATTGCTATATAAGAGCCATACAAGTCGAGTATTGTGATTTACAAGAGACAAGTGACACTCTTGAAATGGCGGACTGCTGTTTCAATATGTAAGTTCCTATTTTGTCTGGGAAGTGCGGGAAGAGCTGATTTCATAGGACCATAGAAGTTCAAGGTGGAAAGGATATATTTCATCATCTAAATTGTCAGTATGCGATTGTTCCCTACACTGGGCCAAGTCCTGTGCTCAATTAAATTTGGGAATGGGTGACAGGAGGTGGATCACTTGATGATTACCTGTTCTGTTCATTCCCTCTGAGACACCTGGTATTGGCCACTGTCGGAAGACAAGATACTGGGCTAGATGGATCTTTGGTCTGACCCAGTATGGCCGTTCTTATGTTCATCTGTTATGTTAAACAGTTGTAAATTGTGAGTAACGTTAGTGGAATTACTCAGGATTTACACAAACACAGAATTTGGCCCAGTAGAATGTTCTTCACTCTGGTGTGTAATCCAATATTAAATTACTCAAATGGTAGGGTTTTAGTATTCCCTGGTGAATTTTCGGCCTGATCCTGCTCTCCTAAATCAGTGGAAACAGGATTGGATCCTTAATTTTTTTAAACAGCTATCTCAAGGCACTCCTAACTGATCCACACCATTTTACTACATATGATTAAAGTACTCCATAATTCCCCCAACTTGTGTTTTATTCTTTTTTGCGTTGCACTTTTCCTCCTCCACCACCTGCTCCCTCAAGTTTTCTGGGAGTTCAGTTTCATATAAAATGTATTTTATACTCTGTGTCAGGGAATATAAACATAAAGTTAAAAGGACTAAGGCTTTGCCCTTGAAATGTAAAGGGCTTAGCTGACAACTTTAGCTTCTTGCTACATTCTGATAAAACACATCTCTAAAAGTCTATATAATTGGCTTAACACCTGCTGTTTGTTAAACGTGTTTTAAGTTTTATAAAAAGATAACCAAAACAGGGTTTAGCTTCTGATAGGTTCAAGTTAATACTTTTTTATTTGCAAAAAAAAAAAATTAAGTAACGACTACACAAATCAGAAAAAAATATCCAAAATTATTTTAAAATGTGACTCCTATATTAGGTCAGCTCTTGTAAAGAGGCACCAATAGCTAACCAAAGCATGCACATCCCTCTTTGGATGTCAACTCTTATTTCCCATATATAATATGTAAAGATAGTTTTCTAATGGTACCTTCATTTCTTTGGCTAATAGGTAATTCCTTTTTGTTTGTTTGTTTGTTTGCTGATTCACTTAGTGTGATAGACAAGTCCTCCTGAGGTTTGTGTTTGTATATTTAAAAAAAAACAACTCTTTTTATTTCATTTTTGCTATTTTCTCTAGCTGAGGCGACCATTTTCCTTTTGAGTAGAACTGAGTTACTTTGCTCCCTGTTAATCCTATTCAAGGAGACTGCTGCTTCTATTAGATACAAAACTAAAATGTGATACTTCTAGAAGAGAGGCTATGAATGATCTGAGTCCTGGCTTGCCATTAGGGGAAGAGCAGAAAGGCTTAGATGTTGGATACAATGCAGAAGCCTCCCCTTTCTAAATGTCCAGATCCCAACAGAATATTGAGAGTTACTTCCCTTTCAGGGAGGCAGAAATAATTGTGATTTGTAGTGTTTTCCATTTGCAGTGGTATTTTCCTGTTGTGTTAAATGCCTCTTACTAAGTAATAGGGGTGATTTATGTGGACACCAAAGCGGTGTATGGTAGATTCAGTGATTAATCAGTGAATTCCCATCCTCTGGCATCTCACTGCCCCTCTTGCGTGATGTAAGATCAGACGTACTCTGCATTGAAAAGTCAAGACACACAAGCTGCTCTCACACACATACACCTCGCAATCCTGCTGAAAGCAGGGAGAAGGGAGGCAGCCTGGGCTCATTTAGCAGACGAATTCCCATTGACATTTGTAAATTACGCAGCTCGATTGCAGACTTGCTGCTGCTGCTGATTTACTGAGTGTGCAGCCAAGCAACCCCGGCAGAGGAGGACGCTTCAATCCGGCTACAACAATGTCTGAGTTTCTTTTAGCCTTAGTAGCGATCTCAGGATTATTTCCTGTTGCTAAGGTGCTGGCAGTGGGAGCCGATCGAGGTAAGGAGAACACTTTATTTTCCTCTGAGATGATTTGGAGAAGTGTCTAAAACTTCCTCCTGCAGCTCAGCTCAGCTGCATGGGACATTTGTCTCTGCCATTGCTTCTAGGGCTGTTAGTACAAAAGCAAAAATAAGATCAGGTAGAGGCATGCAGCACGAAAAGTATCTTCCTGCGTGCACAGCGGACTATGATTTGACTTAGCTGCCTGTGACAGGCTCTGCAGATGTTCGTATCAGATTTCACTGTAGTAGATGCTCTCTGACTGTGTTGCTTATTGCAATGCATTGCAAACCTTTGCGGTCTCTTCTTGTTAACGGTTACACTGTCTGCGAATCTACCTTTCAGTCCTCAACTTGTATTTCGGTAACTTCCTTACCTGCTGCAAAGCAGCATCTCTCGTGCTGTAATTCTCTCGGGGCTGATTTCCTGTATCCAGGCTGAGCCTTCTGGGGAAGGTACCTAGTGTGCTACCAGCGTCTGAGCGAATGCTACAGTTTAAGCTGTGGCTATGCACAGGAACAATAGGTCATAATCCTTCTCTCCCTATTTTATATTGAAGCTTTGCAGCCCAGGCACTTGTAGTACCTTGAGATACAAACAGTGATACACTTTCAAGCACAACTTCTTTTTTATCGTCTCCTCAGTAGGGTATTGCATTAATGAGCTAACTAAAACATACAAAAGCAAGAATAAACCAAGATGAGGTGAACTTTCAAGCAAGAACGTCGGGTTTATTTTTTTAGAGCCTCTCTGAAGTTTTGTAACCTCTCTCGGGCGCAAACAGAGCAAAATGCACACAGATCAGTAACTGAACCCGATCGATGTTCACATGGGCATGATTAAATGTATCATTATGCATTATGGAAACTTGACTATTAAGATCATCTCATTTTGACTGATAATGCTCAGGCTTTTGATCTAATTAGAAACAGATAAATGAACCTTATACCAATGTCAGATAGGAGGGGATGGGGAGAGAATGGATCACTGAATGATCTAATGGCAGTGTTTATATGAAGGCAGTTATGTATTGACTTTAAATTATTGCTTCATTATAAAAAAACAAACAAACAAACAACCAGGCATGAATTGTGATGCTTCTATCCCATATGGTGTTAAAAATTGAAGTATGTACTTTGTGTTAGAGGGGTGTGTGTGTGTGTGTGTGTGTGTGTGTGTGTGTGTGTGTGTGTTACCATACAATCTGTATGGTAACGCTAGCTGAGGGTTTTCTGTGAGTAGTTTTATAAGGCTAGTCAGTGGTGTATTTTTTTTGCAACTGCTGATTGGTTCTACCTTTCAAAGAAGCTTCTAAAACTATTTCCAGAGATCCTTTTATTCAATTCCACTACTTTATCATCCATTTGATTTCTGAACTTTATTTAAATAGTGTGAAGTTCATGAGGGGCTAAATAAAACTGCACAGCTAAGTAATAAAGAATACAGAACCTTTTAGCCAAGGCACTAAAATTAAGAAGTTGAAAGAGTAACTATTTTCCTGTCTTAGGAAGTCTTTGATGAAAGACGACAGAATCCCTTGGGCTGGAATTAAGTTTAACTGTTCCTTATACTGACAGTATTTGATGCTATTAATAGACTGACTTTGCTATATGATGCTTGAATTAAATATTTTTAAAAGTAGGATTTAGGTCATCTTTGTATTTATTAAGCACAAGAGTGTTATCATGTTGATTTGACTAAAAGTTTTTTCTGTAGATCAAGAATTATTAAACAGTAAAACCCATTAGATCAGATTACTTTCTAGCTCCTTAGCCTCTAAAGTACACAACTGAAGAAATGAGACAGCATTAAATATTGTCATATTCAATTTGCTAGGAATTCATTATAGTTACATTTATAATAAAATCTATGATGCATTGAATGTGCATTATGAAACTTGGAATGTTCTACATCATACACATTGGCTACTGACTTGTTTACTGACTGTTTAAAACTCATTTGAACAAGTACAAATGGCTTTAGATAGATTATTTCAGGCACAAATTTCTGCTATAATTGGACTACCAAAACTGTTAAGTCAGTGGAAATTGACTGGCTATTAAAAAATTAAATGGATGGTTCACACCACAAGCTGGAAAAGCAACCCTCCTTGACTGGCTAGCAAAGAGACAAGTATCACCGTGGGATCACAAACGTATATATTAAAACATGGCATCATAAGATGCCAGGCTGTAGCGCAAGAAACAGGTTGACATTCAATATAATGCTACCTGCATAGCCTAACACTAAAGGTTCTAGGAGACTCTGCTCGGTTTATGAATGGTACAAATGGTGTTTCTATGATGCAGTGTTGTATATGAAGAATTTTGATCACACTAATGCCAGTTTGTTGGAAGAACTTCAAGAACTTTCCAAGATTTGCACAAAATAGTCTGAGTGTATTTCAACAGCAGTAGCCTGACTACATCAGTGATCTTGTGAATAAAAACCTTAGCTATTAACCATTTTGTGAAGCTGTATTGTAATCTAACCTGGTGTACCCTGCTCAGTGTTGGAGTTTAGCAGATGACAATTGATTCATGAACTGAAGATTCTGATTTTAACTTTTGTTTTAATGTTTGTTTTTGTTATATAGTTCGTATTCATTTAGTGTACACCAAAATGGACTGTTGGCTTAAGTTAGAATCAATCCAGTTTTAAAAAGGCAACATCATTCTAAAACATGCCATCCAAAAGAGTAGGATAAATCAGATTCACTTAGAATCAAGTAAGTCATCATATCATCATGACATGTCTTATCAAAGCATAGTGTGGTACAAATTAAGACTTAAAAGACATAGTGTTTAAAAATGTCAAATGTTCTCAACATAAGTGATTCAGAATGTACCACACCTGGAAATGGTGTTACATTTTCATGTCAGATAATGTTTGGGACATATTGTAAAAAGCACTGACTATACAGAAATTGGTTTTCTGTATTAAATGTTTAAAGTTTGTCAAACATGATGGGTTGCAATTTATCCAAACTCCCAAATTTGAAATGCAATAGTCACAGTATTGACTGAAAGGGAACTAGAAAAATATCCTGGATTTTATCAGATCTATTCTGCCACCAAAATGAGGTCACTACTGCTCTATTTTATATAATAAATAATAAACGGTTGGAGATGAGAGAGAAGTTGGGGGAAAAGAGAGGAAAGAAAAGAATAGGGGACAATAGAAAGGAATGGAAAAGCATTGGGAGGAAAAAGAAAACAAGGTCTATGGCGAAGAGGTTCATTTATTAATTTAGAAAAGTCATTAGCTTTGGCTTAGTTTTCAATTGTAACATTTTAAAGGAAGTTCATGGAACTAGTCACTCTTGAGGTTCTCCTACCCATAAAGCTAGATCTACTACAATAAATGCTGGAAAAATGCCTGATAACAGGTGACAAGTCTAGGTACAGTACATATATTACCTGCTCTATCATAGATGGGCAGAAGAGTTTCAGAAAAAGTGGGTAACTCCTGTAATTATGTTAAGAGTATCAGATGGTACTGTAGTTTCAGAAGGCAGTACTTAATGATTTCATCAATGAAATTTCTTGAAGGGTGGTGAAGGAGACATGTCATCCTCACGTCCTCCCCACAAATGTTTGTCATCTTAATGTCTCCCCTAACCCAACTGCAGGATTCTCACCTAATCCCATGTGCCCAACTTTTTTTTTTTTCTGCTCACCGTGAGACATGAAATCAGAATTTTTACAGAATCAGACAGATGCCGTAATGAGAAGATGTCAGTTTACTTAAAACTCATGAATTACCACATAACTGAATCCATTGCACACATTTACTTCCCCCTACCCCATTTTTAGTTTAAAAAGTATGTATTCCCCTTGGTTTTTTTTAAAGCTATTTTGGATCCAAGGGATGAGATACACAAGCAGGAAGGGTGGGTTATCATGGAAACTACTCCTTTCTAGATTCATAAACCTCACTAGAAATCTCTTGAATCCACGTACAAGGGAATTTACTGTTTGTTTGTTTTTCCCTAATGTCTCTTGATCACATTTAAAGTTTGGCAATACATTTAAATATACCTTAGCATGTAATTGCCAGGTTTAAGAGTCAGATGATTTCTGCTCTGAAACTATCTGCAAATAGTCATAGCGAATGTGTTTTTTAAGCTTGACTCCAATCACCTTATTAATACTTTGCTGTTTTAAGTAGAACATGGAAAAATAGTTGTACTCTACTCTGCCAAATGGAGCTGCTCCTTGTCAATCCAGTGTAAAGTAGTCTCAGTCTTAAAACAGGCAAATTCAAATAAAGCTGTTTCAGTGCTTTAATATAGAGGTGCCTGTTGTCATACTTAAATTTCTATATATCTATTAATATATAGAGAGAGCAGTACTGTACCCACAAAGGCAATGGTTACAAGGTCATGGTGACATTTCCCAGTTGTTTACTGTGAAAAACAGTTTTACAGAGAGCTTGGTTTGCTCCTAAAAATTTATTTATCATTGGAGAAGCAAAGTTATCTAGAAGGGAGAAAATAGAAGGGCATTTAGGACAACAGTTTTTTAAAAAAAGAAATGCCTTAATGATGCAGTTGCAAATGAAAATAAGTGAAAGATTTCCATAAGAACATTTTTATTCACTAGTGCAATTGCAGTAGGTAAAATGCTTGTGTGCTCCCAGCTGAGTATGCAATTACATGTGCAAAATACTGCCATTTTCAAAACAATCAGGTAAGTGTGTGTGTGAAGGCTTGTTCATAGAGGATATGCATGTTAATTAGCCTACTAGCCATGTCCTCCTTTGCGCTAAGCAAATAGGTTTTACTTGTTTTAATGAAGGAAAAAAAATCTGTCAAAAAACAAATTATAAAAGGCAAAAGTCTTAACATCAAAATATAGTAGAGAAATTTTGTTTTCCTCCAAACCTCTTCTTAATTCCTTAGAGGTTTAAAGCTATTCCTGCTCCAGATTAAGGTAGCGATCCTGCTAAAATTTACATAGATACTTAACTTTACTCACAGGAGTAGACCTCCTGGA